ACAATTTTACATGCCCATTTTTTCAACAGCACATTTATCTTGGTTTTGTTTGAATTCTTATCGTATTACTCAAGCTATTTTTTCCTGGTACGCACGATTACTTGACAATACTGTTTGACATACTAAGTTAATCAAGGTAGATGGAAAAGGAATACAATAAATCTGGGACTTATACGTGCACGTAAGAATAATTACTCCTCCTGGATGATTTCCATGCAAGTAAATGAATAATGAAAGCTTAGTATTAAACTGATCGTATGTTCTGACAAACGGAGACACACAAAAGACTAAATATTAGGAAGTCTAGTACGTAATAGTGGAAGCAATAAACCTGCCTAGTGCTCTTTTGCCTGCATACCAGCAGCTAGAATAACAAGTGGGAGGATGGATTGGAAAAATTAGTTTGCACCTATACTGAACAGCATGTGAACACCTAAAGGAATAGGCGTTGCAGTCGTGCTCAGTAAGCGAATATACTATGGCACCACATAAGTTGCATCTACCGTCCCACCTTACAGCAAGCTTAACACCAGCAAACTGAGTTTATAGCGCGTAGATCGTGCGCTATATATCCGGTACGCGACTAGACGACCAACCAAAAGTAGTGGGTAGAAGACACAAAAGTAAACTAGGGAAGAAGTTTATTGGACGGGAGGAGCGTTAGCTAATGCTAAAAATAGGGCACCCGGAGAGAGCTAGCTAGGGAGAATGTCGTTGGCGTCGAGAGCGTAGACGGAGCGTCGTTCGCAGTCGAGGCGCGCGCCAAAGGCGGAGATCGTTTTCGTGTTTCCAACAAACGGGAACAACGTTCCAACAGGCAAACCGAATGGTTCCCTAATACATAAGAAAGCTATAATTTGAATATTTTAGAATAGTTTACACAGTCATACGGGGGAATCTCCAGGTCGCTACACAGCCCCCCTCCTAGAAGGGAAACCGTGGGTGACCCTTCGATCTACGTGAGGACTGTCCGTCGCGGGCCAGCCTTCTGCGAGACCAGGTAGTGAAACCTGATGCAGCTGCTGGGGGAGAACCAGGCGATCGGACCCTAGCGGGCTCCCACCCGTGTCCTCCCTAACGGTGCCAAAAACACAAAATGGGGGGAGTTCGTAAGCGTCAAATGTTCGCGAGTTCGTGATGGTCAAGTGTTCGCTTCAGCCTCGGCATCTCCTCCGGTTCATACATGGAAGATAAACGGAAACAAGAGCAGTGACGGTGGAGGCGAGGGCAAAAGCAAGAGTGACACTTACCGGATGAGGTAGGCGTCAGGCAAAACGCAGCTCTTTTTGTGTTTTCAAAACGTTTTGTTCTTTTTTGGGTTTTCAAAACATTTTGCGTTCTTTTTAGGTTTTCAAAAAAACTTTTGTCGGTTTTTTGGCGTTTTCAAAAGCTTTTGGGGGTTTGGTACGTTGTTGGCCAAAAGGAAAAGAAAAACGATAAGGAAAGTGAAAGGAACACTAATCCCTTAATCGCGCTGGCCAATGAACGCGTCTACCCGACCTAGTCGACTTGTTCGAATCAGAGGAAGGCGTCGTCTTAGACGTCCTATCGGATCGCAAAATTGGAGGAACTGCTGAAGACGTGGCAGTTGGTTCGATGGGAAGCGGTGGAGCTGAAGTGGAAGGCTTGGATGGGGCGTGAAACTTGGGGTCAGGGATGTTGGAAGCAGTCGAGTCTTCCATCATAGGCTGCGTTGATTCGTCAGAAGACGAGTAAGGGTCTTCGTTGAGCTCAGGTTCCACGTGAGCAACCTTGAGACGGTCAATCGTAACGGCTTCGCGTTTACCGTGACGGTCGATGATAAAAACGCGGTCCTTACGCTGCAGGACCTTGAAAGGACCTTCGTAAGGTCGCTCCAGTGGTCTGCGGAGACCATCGAGGCGGAGAAAAACGAACGGACAATGCTGCAGGTCTTGTGGAATATAAGATTTACGTTGTTGTTCTCTAACGTCGGGAAGCTTGTACTGACGCATGCTCGTGGCAAGCTGACGTGCATAATTTGCGTCGTAACGGGTAATTCTGGGACTAACGGAGAAGAAATCGCCAGGTAAACGCAGTGGTTGTCCATATACTAACTCGGCGCTAGACGTACGTAGATCGGCCTTTAGGGCTGATCGGATCCCAAGGAGGATCATAGGCAGCACCTCAGTCCAACTCAGCGCATTGGCGGCGCTAAGTGAGGCTTTCAACTGTCGGTGGAAACGTTCCACCATGCCATTCGCTTGCGGATGATAGGCGGTCGTGCGAATGCGTTGGCATCCAATGAGTTTAAGGAGATCGTTAAAGGTCGTAGATTCGAATTGCGGACCGCGGTCTGTAGTCACTGTGGCTGGACAGCCGTGTGAAGCGACCCAGCGCTCGACGAAAGCGCGTGTTACGGTTTCCGCAGCTACGTCAGGGATGGGAACGGCTTCGGGCCAACGGGTGCAACGATCGATCATGGTCAAAATATAGACCATTCCTTTGGACGGGGCCAGAGGTCCCACGATGTCGAGATGGACATGGGCAAATCGCGCTGAAACGGACGGAAAGCGACCAAGCGGAGCGGACACGTGCCGCTGAATCTTGGCTTGCTGGCAGGTGAGACAGCTGCGTGCCCAGCGCGTAAGATCGCGTTGCATCCCCGGCCAAACGTATCTCTCAGAGACAAGCTTAGCAGTAGCTTTAATGCCTGGGTGGGCGATATTGTGGAGGGTGTCGAAAACGATACGGCGAAAAGTTTCTGGAACGACGGGTCGAGGTCGTCCGGTAGATGTGTCGCATAAAATGGTACCATCAGATGACGGCAAAGGGTGCGGGGATATTTTCAAAGAAGAATCGCGAAGTTCCGAAAAGGTTTGGTCGTTTGATTGCGCGGCGGCCATAGCAGACAAATCGATTGCCTGCCCGGCAGAGCCGATCGCAGATACTCTTGAAAGAGCATCAGCGACGACGTTTTGTTGACCAGAAATGTGTCGGATATCCGTAGAGAATTGGGCAATGAAATCCAGCTGACGAATCTCACGTGGTGAGTGTCGAGCTGATTGATTTCGGAATGCATAGGTAAGCGGTTTGTGATCGGTGAAGATAATGAAGGTGTTACCTTCGAGGACGTGTCGGAAATGTCGAACGGTAGAGTAAACGGCTAGCAGTTCGCGACTGAAGGTGCTGTACTTCAGAGGCGCTGGCAACTAGGATATCGTCGATGTATGCATAGACGAAATTTAGACCTCTAGTGACTGAATCGATGAGTCGTTGAAAAGTCTGGGCTGCGTTGCGAAGACCGAACGGCATACGCAAAAATTCGAACAGCCCAAAAGGCGTGATTACGGCAGTCTTCGGGATGTCTTCCTCAGCGACTGGAATCTGGTGATACGCGCGAACCAGATCGATTTTGAGAACACACGGGTGCCGCGCAGGCTTGCCGTGATGTCCTGAATGTGAGGAATCGGATATCGGTCGGGAACAGTAACGTTATTGAGCGCGCGGTAATCACCACATGGACGCCAGTCTCCTGACTTTTTGGGCACCATGTGGAGCGGCGACGCCCAGGGACTGTTAGACTGGCGAACGATGCCTAGTTCAAGCATGTGCTCGAATTCTGCGCGAGCAATTTTCAACTTGTCAGGGGTCATTCGCCTGGCTTTGGCAAAAACAGGCGGACCTTTCGTGACGATATAATGTTTCGCGGCCTCAGTGGCGGATGAAAACGGTGTCATTGCACGAAAGACTTGCGGGAACTTCGTATTAAGCATCTGACCGATAGGCGAGCTTGACAGGTTGGCGTATACAGGACTGATTGACTCTATGTCGGTCAAAGTACCCATAACTGCCAGGTTTGTTTGACGGTCGATCAGACGGCGTTGCTTCGCGTCAACAAGTAAATCGAAGTGCTGCAGAAAGTCAAGGCCAAGAATTGGCGTCTGGACCTCTGCGACGAGAAAGATCCATTTAAATGAACGTCGTAGGTTTAAATTAAGCGTGCGCGAGCGTTGACCATACACGCAAATGGTGGTGCCGTTTGCTGCGCGCAATGAACCGGTCGCCTCTTCTATATCATTAGAATCACGTGGGACAACGCTGACTTCTGCGCCGGTGTCAACGAGATAGCGTACTCCCGTACTGCGATCGGTGCCGAAGAATAGGCGACTGGGGCAGCCAGTAACGTCCGTCGCCCCTACGTGCTGGCCTACCCGTTTTCCTGCATGTTGCGCTTGAAGGAACAAGGCGGGCGACACGATCTGGCCTGATGACCAAATCGCTCGTGATACCAGCAATAGCTTGACCTAGGGGAGATTTCGAATGTGATCTGGGAGGACTGCGACTACTGGAACGATTTCGGCGGTTGGGTCCGGATTGCGTTAGCTTCTCTAGTCGGTTGGTCAATGCGGCCACTTGCGTTCTTAGTTCTGCTACCTCTGAACTGGAGTTAGACTGAACCTGAGATATTTGGGCGTTGGATTCCCAAATACGGTCGGCAATATCTGCGAGCTGAGGAAGAGGCGCATCGTTTGCATACAAGTGATTGCGCATGTCACGTGGCAGGCAACGAAGCCACATCTCTTTAAGGAACGAGTCGCCAAGAGCGAGAGGCTTAGCTAGAGCTTGTCTCTGAGAGAAACGTTTGGCCGGGGATTCAACGCGATCTTACGCCTTGGGCACGCAGCTGTCTCACCTGCCAGCAAGCCAACATTCAGTGGCACGTGTCCGCTCCGCTTGGTCGCTTTCCGTTCGTTTCAGCGCGATTTGCCCATGTCCATCTCGACATCGTGGGACCTCTGGCACCGTCTAAAGGAATGGTCTATAATTTGACCATGAACGATCGTTGCGCCCTTTGGCCCGAAGCCGTTCCTATCCCTGACGTAGCTGCGGAACCCGTAACATGCGCTTTCGTCGAGCGCTGGGTCGCTTCACACGGCTGTCCAGCCACAGTGACTACAGACCGCGGTCCGCAATTCGAATCTACGACCTTTAACGATCTCCTTAAACTCATTGGATGCCAACGCATTCGCACGACCGTTGGTCGTCTAGTCGCGTACCGGATATATAGCGCACGATCTACGCGCCAATATTGGTGACACAGACGTGACGACCAACCAAAAGTAGTGGGTAGAAGACACAAAAGTAAACTAGGGAAGAAGTTTATTGGACGAGAGGAGCGTTAGCTAATGCTAAAAATAGGGCACCCGGTGAGAGCTAGCTAGAGAGAATGTCGCTGGCGTCGAGAGCGTAGACGGAGCGTCGTTCGCAGTTGAGGCGCGCGCCAAAGGCGGAGATCGTATTCGTGTTTCCAACAAATGGAACCGACGTTCCAACAGGCAAACCGAATGGTTCCCTAATACATAAGAATGCTATAATTTGAATATTTTAGCATAGTTTACACAGTCATACTGGGGAATCTCCAGGTAGCTACAAGTTCGCTCATATAAGCCGGATTGCTTACAGAGGTAATTAAACTGGAGGAGGTGTAAGTACGAACTGCAGAAATATGTCAGAAAGGCAGTCCTGTGGCTGGTGGTCTCCGTCTCTTTATTTGGAACCGTGGTATTATACGAACAAAATAGCGGATGCCCTGCAAGTCCCTTTAGGATGGCCAAACAGAGGGTAGAACATGGTGCATAGAAATCATAGGAATAAAATTCAAACACTTTTGGTGTACACACCACAGTGTTAAAAAAGAGACACCAGAAAGAGCCAACCAGATGTGTAAGTTAAACCTGGTTGTTTAACATTCGTCGCATTATATCGTCTGTCAATATTCACAGACTATGTCTCTTAATTGTAGTGGGTTATGGCGACGTCAAGGCGTTTTTAAACAAGATAACTGGGGCGAATAGAACGTAATTTGGGAGGGCTTTCCAAGACTGACACAAATGAATAAATTAAACCTTGCGTCGATATTCTAGCTGAGTGTATTGCGTGGGTAACTTGAACTGGTGGCCCATCAAATTAGTGTTGCGACAAATTTGTAGTAGTTGACGGCAGACCTGGTTGGGGTTACTTAGAATCTGCTACACAATAATAAGATCGCCAATTATGCATCGGTACTGGCCAATGTATAATTTTGGGGTCCTCTGTCTAAGTTGCTAAGGAAAATAGAACAAATAATTGACGTTCTTGGCGGCTCGACGCTGTGGCGTCTTGAGCTCTGCTAGGTTTTATTTGTGCTAGGTCTGACACATCTGGATTGTGTATTCCACATGAAGCCGCATGTAGGTGCTACGCAACTGCGAAAAGACAGAGGAATTATATCGTCCAAATGCCCTCCGCAGCATGCTAACTTGTTGGTTCCCAGTCTTTGAATCCTTCTCAGATAGTTGTGAGCGGAACTGATCGGTCTGAACTAGTACCCCAAGGTCGAGCTCCTGGATGACTGCTTGCAGGACATTGTCTCCAAACTTGTGTGTGATGTTCGGCTGGTGTTGAATGTGAACCAAATCCCTTTTCCAATAATTGAACCAGAGCAGATTGTGGAATGACCACCAATAAGTTTTGTTCCAGGCTTGCTGAATTTCGTCCTATTATTATGGGTTGACGATTTTCAGCAAAACCTCAACATCTTCAGTTAACCGCAAAAAATGTAAGGCCATCAAATGCGTAAGCTCTTTAATAAAAATGAGGAAAATGCGCAGCCCTGGGAATGATTCTTGTGGATTATTACATCAGACAAGAATCGGGCACTTTGAAATCTGACTTGCAGTTACTGATCCTGCAGGTAATTCCTGAACCATCCAAGTAGAGGATCAGCGGTTCCATATCTTTCGTGGTGGTGAAACAGAATGTAATGCTCCAGTTGCTCGAAGGCTTTGGTAAGTTTAAGTAAATGACATCTGTTCCTCTGCCTGTATGGGGCACATACGTCTAACTGCTGTGTGCAATCAGTAGATTAGTTGTCAGAACGAGGTCAAATGTCGATGGTTTGTTAACTGTTCTGTACCTGGTGGGTGACTTGATATTATTGTAGAGCGGGATACTTGCGATAAGATATCGCAGTTCGGCCTAGTATGTTTTGCTGGAGGATGCCGAACTTGCCTAGTCGTGCACGTTGAAGCCGCCGAAATTAAGAACTTGGCTGTAAGTTGGAAGGAAACATTTCCTCAGTGATGATATTAGGTTGGAGTCCATCTATGGAGTGGACGATGATGAGTGATATACGACTGTCAAGAAGCAGTTGTCATTGTGCCCTAAAGGCAAATGGCACCATGGCGAATCGGTGACTCGTGTCTCCGGACCATCAAGTGGTTCGTATTGTAATTATTTACGATAGTAAAGGATAGCTTTACGTGGCCGGCTGGAACGATCATGTCAGAAAAGTACATACCCTTGTCGTGATCTCGGGATCCGTAATCCCTGAATGCAACCAAGCCTCGGTTATTGAGATGAGATCCTAAGCGTTTGTTGCTTGGCACATCCGAAGGTCGAATAATTTGCTGAGGTGGCCCTGTGCATTTGTTTATTGCAGGAAAGATATTCTGTTCTCAGCAACGATCCGAAACACTTGTGGCTAGGATGATGGATTGTGCATAGCGTTTTCTGATCGACTGCGGGCAGACATTTTGCGCAATTACCGGTGAGTCGCCTGGAGTTGGATTCCGAGGCATTGTAATTAACCCCTCTGAAAACCCAGTTTGCGTAATGCTTAGGAAAGGGCTGCAAGAGATCACAAGAAATTCTTTACTTTGTTTAGATTTACTTCCAGTGGTAATTTCGGATAAGCTCGCTATTAGTTTGGCTACTTTTTTGGTGTTTTAAGTCGGAGGACACTTCCGCTAGCCGCTTTGAACAGGAACACCATTGGCAGTCTGTTCCTAAGTAAATTCCAGCATTTCTGCATCTGCCTATTTTGTAACACAACTTAATTATCCTTAAGCCTCACCGTTTGTAGCTTCGTGATTTTGGCAGCCTAGAGTGAAAAGTAGCTACAACGTCATTCTAGAGCAGTCTCATGAGTATAGCTCCACTGGCCCCTGGTCGTTTGACTTTGTTTCGCATTCATCGTGCTCGTGAGACCGAAGAACGTCGTGGACAAAAACGATTCTGGCTGCGGCATTTAGCCGGAACTCTTCTAAACTGTGCCTCGTTCGCCTGCGCTTGATCAACGATACAATGAACAATGCTATGAACAATGATATAATGCAGGTAAAAA